GAAATATTTTAGATATAAAGGGATATTTTAGATCTTATTAACTAGTGTTGGAGTGCATGCAAATCTACAGGAAGCAAAACATGACATCTGGTTTTAAAATAGTGAATCTGACATCCAGAAGCCACCTGCCAGAGGTTTGTCTGCATGTCTTTGAGCCTGAAGTGTTAGGAGTTAGGTGGGAAGTAGTGACGGGGTCTCCTGGGAAAAGACTCCGAGACCCCTTCAATCAGAGCAGCCAGACTGTTGTCTTCATGGACTTCTGAGAAAGAGCTCCTTTAGCCATATGTTGAAGGTGCTCATTTTGAAATTGTGTCTATTTTAAACAAAGACCAGGAGGTGGGAATCAGTGAGGTTAAATGATTTGGCTCAGATCACATATTTTGGCAATGGCAGAATCAAGACTGAAATCCATGTTTGCTCTCTCCAAAGTGCTCTGAGACTTTGATGTTTGTGTGAGCTGGAGCGATATCCTAATGATTCAATTAAGTTATTTTCATTTCTACTTCCTGGCTCTGAGACGTATATTAGACTGAGTTAATTAGAGAATCAGAGGGAGGCTTCCACATCAGGAAAGAAGTGTTACCTTGTGTGCTTGCTGCTATTTCATGTGGCACCCTGGATCTCAGCCTGCCTGATATTAATGGTCATGTACCCATAGAGATTCTTCTTTCCACTTCATTTTATTGCCCTCTAACTAATTTGTTTCATAATTTTAATTACACAATTAAAATATTTTTATTCTATCATTGGCTAATCTTTTCCTTCAGCATAAATGCCTGATACTGACCTGTAATACTGGGCTTAGTTAAGACTTCCACTTTGTTTTCATCCCTTCCTTTCTCTTTTCTTATTCATATTGTTTGGTGCCAGCATATTTGATGTTTGGTCAGAGGGACAAGGAGACTTGGCAGAGAGAAGTCAGTCAGGAAGTAAATCTTATAAATGAGGTCCTTGTGACATGGGAGAGAGAAAGGAGAGCTCATTTGATTAGTGAATGGAACAGTGACAAGGACAGTGCAAGAGGGAGGCTCTGGAGGCTGTGGTTAAGAGGTTGCAACTAGGGGCATGACCAGAGGAGGCCACGCCTGCACCCCTTTCTGGGTATTCTGCTCCTGAGTTTCAGAGAACAGAAGAAAATGCAGAGAGGTAAGAGAGTTGCAAGAGCTCTGCATGAAATGGTTGACTCCTGAGATTGGTGCTGGTCAGCCATAGCATAGAAAAGCATTAACAAATAGTTTTTGATTTTGCCTCACTGAGGAAGTTGAGGCAAAGAGAAGTCAAAACCTTTGACTTGTGAGTTATGCTATGGACAACATCTCTATACTTCTTATCATATTTACACAGTTGCATGAGAGAAAGGAATCGAGGACAACAACTAGGTTTTATTTTAAATGAAGCTAGGAGGCAGGGGAGGGAAATGATATGATATGCATTTACCAGGTCACTCTTCCTGCTGTGTGGAGAGTGAATTAGAATAGGGCAAGAGTGGAAACCAAGAGAGCACTTAGGGGGCTATGTCAGCATTCCAGGAGAGAAATGATAGTGGCCGGGAGAGGGAAGAGGAGAAGCAAATGTATTTTGAGATTAAAATGTAAAAATTTGATGGATTAGATGTAGTTAAAAAATCAGAAAGAATCAAAGTTTTATGGTGTGAGCAACTAAATGCATGTGTGTATAGTTTCTAAGGTAGGGAGGGATTGTCCATGTGATTATAGGTTAGGAGAATTTGGATGGCGGGAGTATGGAGAGAAAATGAAAACATGTTCTCCCTCACCTTTGCCGTTCTGACCACTCCTGAAAATGCCTGTCCAGTCCCCTAGGCTGTGGCGTATTTCCCCAAGCCCACTGAATACTGTTGGCCAGTTCTTCCCCACCAGCATATTTCATATATAGGATGTAATGATAAAGGTTCATCAGTCATCTGCCTTAGGAAGGGGGAGCTAAAGAGATAAGGAGTGGAAATGCCATTTTCATTTCTGTTTGCCTTTTATTTCTGTCAAAATGGAATTCAAAATACTTAGCATTCCTGGAATGTAATTTAGGAGATCCTCAAATTGCCTCTACAGGAAGAGAAAGGTAAAAGGATGTTTTCATAATATGCCCAAGGTGATGTGGGAAATAGGACATACCTGTCCAGCATGATGTTGCCATAATTACTCATTCCACAAATATTTTTTTTTGAAATCCTACTTGCCAAGTCCTAGTCAAAGCATTTGGAATATAGCAGGCAAGAAGACAAAGTCTTTGCATTATGGAAGTCACATTCAGAACACTGGTTATGTCCTTGTCCTTTAAAAACTTCAATAGTTTGTTCCTATTTCAGAAGCATAAGATCTAATCCCTGCTTAAATCAGAGTCACTACTTGTCCCCTAAGTCAAGTGCATGCTCAGCTCTTTGTGTTTGCTTGTGCTTTTTCTCTCTCCTTCCCACTTCTTAGTTCATTGTGAGTCAGGTTATCTGATCCACTCAGAACTGAGAGGAGTGTAGGCGTGTGCTGACCTGCATCCACTCTCATTGGTTGATGCCCAGGCTGAACCAGTCATCAGAATTCCACTATTACCTCTGCTTGCACCTTTCAGGTCTAGTTCAGTCTTTCTTGACCATCTAAGTTACTTTCTCAGTCTTTCAATAGTCTCATCTTCATTTGACCTCATGGTACTCATAGCTGACACTACTTAATGTCACAGACTTTCTTGGGTACAATTAAGAAATCTGACTTATATGCTTTTGGCTTTGTTCCAAAATAAGGCAGCACTGCATAACTCAGACTCCAGATATTCACAGATTAATTGACCAGTGAGCCAGGAGGGAAGCAGCATGTCATAACCAGCTACTTGGTATTTAACTAGAGAGGAACCCCCTTTGCTGATATCCAGGTTAGTGTGCTCATCTCTAGCCATTCGTCCTTCAGGGCTCTCTTCAACCCCCAGCTCCTGTCATTGAGTCGTCCCCGATCACCTTGAGTTTCCGAGGGCACTCCCTTGCCAGCACCCCTTAGGATGCCTAGCTAGTTTTCTGCATTAAAAGGACAGTGGGATGTCTTGCTTGCCAGCCAACTTAATGTGAGCTGACATTCCTGGCACACTGAATTAAGGTGGAGAGCCAATTGCCCCAGAGAAGAGTCTATTTCTATGGAGATTAAAACAAGAAAATGATGAGCATAAAAACACCTTTATCTTCTTATAGTTAAATGGAAGTATGACAGTAATTAGGCCAGACCAGATGAGCTCTGATTGTTAATTGCTATGGTGCAGTACTTTAATTTTTCCCAGTGTATTGTAAAACTTGGCAGATGAGGTACATGCTCTGTGCTCTTGCCTGTGTTATAATGCTGACAGTTTGAGAATTAATCATTTTTGGATGTTCTAAATTTGTTATTTTAAAACTGTAAATACTCCTCCTCCCCATCCCAGGTAGAAACTGAGGGAAGTGTTGTAGTCTTTTATCTAAGAGAATGTGGTACAGAGTCATGATTTCCTAGGGCAACACTGGCTCACAGATTTACTTAAATAACCTCCAATTACTTAAAAGGTCTTGAATACTTCACCCACCGTTTCTTTTTCCAGTCGACTAACTGTGAACAGTTCTACTTAGCTCTAGAGCAAGCGTCTCTATGGGGCTCCAGCAAGCATTTAGTATTGTTTTTTTTTCTAATTATAAAGCCATGTGAGCACTGGTGTAACTGACTCCCTGGCTGTAGGGAAAAATTTGATGCATTTTGGGTAATGCTTTGAAGTTACAGAAATGGGACATGTAGCAGGAAGGGCTCAGCTCAGATAGCCCATGAATCAGCCCTTTACTGAGCACCCCTAGAATGCAGCTCCCTGAGCTGGGAGTAGTGAAGTTTGGGCTTCATCCTACAAATAAGCATTTAATTATTTGGAAAAAGTTAAAAATTCAGATGTATAGCTCTCTCTGTAAACTTTTAACATCCTTTGAACCTTCTTCCCCGGGTGATTCTGATCATCTTCCAGGAGTGAGGACCTCTGATGTAGAATTTAATTTTTAAGCCAGTTGGAGTCTAGTTGGGGATTTAGTACTGCTCTTTATATCAATCTTTTTTTTTTTTTTAAGGTTTGTTTGTTTATGCATACAGAGCTTGATTACAGGCCAAAGGTGTGGGGGCGGTGAGAGGATTCACCAGAGACAGAATGGGGAGCAGAACAGGCAGATCGACGAAGTACACTGCTGAGGGGAGCAGTGGGCGGGTCAGGAGAGGTCTGCTGAGCCACATGGGTCACCTTGGGGGCGGGGTGGGGATCAAACTCATGCGGAAGTGGCTTTAGCTTCCTAGTGCTGTGCTTTAACCCACTGCGCCACCAGGGTCTTTTTAACTCCCTACACAGATAGGATGTAAATTATAAGTAAGAGGTATGGAGAATAGCTATTGATCAGTAAGGGAGCAACAGACCGCAGAGGCCGGGGTGATCTTGAAGGAAGTAGAAATGAACCCATGATGTAAGGATGCTGGAATATAAATACAGCTGTGAACAGAGCCTGCTGAGTTGAAGAGTAGTAGAAACCTATTCTCAAAGGCAAAAGGCATTAATAGGGTATTCAAGGGAGTGTAGTGGAAAATCCAGTGAGCTTCCATAGATAACTGAACCCAAAGATCTGAATTTGAATTCTGTGTGTACCACTGCTTATATTTATAAGTTATGTTACTTCTTGAAGCTCCCCTTTCTGCATCTGTCAAAGTGGGATAATAGCTCTTATCAGGTTGTGTGGAACCAGTGTGGAGATTTTTACACAAGCACTCAATACAACAGAGCTCTGTCCAGTGCTAGCTAATGCTGTTATTGCCTTTTGAGGGTAAGACCTTGAATGTTTCAGAGAGAGGAATGATGTATAAAAAATGTTACTATCTCACTCTATGTCTTTATGAGTGAATGAAAGAAATAACTAAAAACAGATATTCACTTCCATTGAAGTACTTAATCTAACTGTATTTAGGGACTTGGAACCCACCCTCCAGAAAAGATCCCCCTGATTGTCCAACATGGCTGCTTCAGAAGCTGTGTCTGAAAAATCAGAATGTGAGTATCTGCACTTAACTGGCAACTCTGTGCCACTGCATGGCATTTCAACTGCTTTTGTAGTCATTAATGACCCTTGGGACACTACTTAGTGGTTCACTTTGTAAGAATTTATATCATTCCCTTTACTTAAATATAAGCTAATTTGGAAAGACCTATAGCAAATTTTATTTAGTGTGATATCGAATATCTACTAGTGCTTGAAATGTGGTTAGTGAAACTAAGGAACTAAATACTTCATTTTGATTTCAACATAAAAACTAGTTATTGGAAAACTTTTAAGTGTCGTTTGATCAACTTGGGTATGTAAGTCTACGTATTCAGGTAAACTATTTTATATATCCTAAATTTTGTTCTAGTATTTCTGAGAAATATTTTAGCATCTAATGAGTTGTGTATAATTGTAAAATGCATGAAGGATTTTGAAGACAAAACACAAAAATTGTAAGGTATCTTATTTTTTAGCATAGATTAATGTTTATATGTTTTGGTTTATGAGTAAACTATTTTGTAATATATGCTATCAAAATTAATTTCACCTCTTCACTTTTTAAAATAGGCTACTAGAACATTTTTAATTACATGTATGGCTCACATATTTCGTTTATTTGTTTGTCTATAGTTGGCAAAGTTGCAAATAATCTGAAATTTACGCCTAGGTAGCATGATTGAGAAGCACACAGTGCTGTGTATAGAGCTGGAATTTGCCATCCAGTGGGTCTGCTCTGCTGTCTCCTCTTTGTTCTTGTGACCCTGGGCAGTAAATGATACGTGCCAGCTGACTCTGTCCAAGGCAAAAGAGAGCACTGCACAGACCACTTTATTTCTTTTTATTTGGATAATACAGATGATTTTTTCAAGATGTAAAGGACAGAAAGGGAGGAAGATCCAGGAAGTGTAGGGCGAATGTTCTTTGGTTTCATTTTACCTTTGGCTCATGCTCATAACTACCTAAACTGTATTTGAGGTGTTGATATGAGTTGGCATCCCCTGCATTTCTGAGTCAGTTTATCCACTGTCCGAAAATATTAACATGGAGATTTTATTTTGAGGGGTTTATTGTAAAATCTCTCTCTGAGATATGTAGGAACTCTATTTACTGTTGGAGTGGATAAGACCCTATGCTAAAGAAGGAGGCGAGTGAGGAACGTGTTCAACAGAATACCTTTAACTTGGCAGTGAAGAACTGGGTCTTAATGTAGAATAAAGCTTTGAAGTTATTGTTGAACATGGGTTTTGGGAGATGATAGATGTATGCTGTTTGAAACTGAGTTTTACTTAGTTCTTTAATACTTTTTAAGAAAAAGTTAGAAATGTTTTCTTCACTTGCATGTCATGTAATTTAATATAAATTATTTTGAGCTTTGCATTCAGAAGACTGTTTTTAGAGTCTTCCATATATCTTTGCTCTAGAACAAATTAAATGACCTTAGTTTCAACTTCCTTCTATAGGTTCTCCTATCCAAGCATATTCCTTGTCTTAATCCTTCACCTGGATCTGCTTTGAGGAGACATTTTTACACATGAACTGATATTCATATTGTTCTTTCTTTAAACAAACAAACAAAAAACAACTTTGTTAGATATGTGTTTGTTATTTTAGGGTAAGGACTTTTTTCCTTACAAAATAAAACTTAGGGAGAACTCAAATATATAAAGCAGATAAGGACTAGACTGATCTGGTTGAAATGATAAGTCCCCAGAGCGTGTGAAATTGATGAAGCACAATTTTATAACAGCTGCCTTAGTCTAGATTTGATTCATTGTGTTATATCTCTTGGAATATTTCGTTTTAAATATTCTTAATGGTTATATGTAAAACATTATATATTTAAAGAGAAATTCATATATGAGCAAGCTGGCGGGAGGGAGTTTTGGTGATTTATGCTGGCTTCTGTCACAGTATGGAGTATCTTACTGCATGGCATGATATTTTTTTAGTTTTTTTTTTGGCATAAGCCTTTATGTACTTAGAAGACAAGCATGCAAGTGTCATATTTATTTGAGAACTTTTAGCGGAGAAACATTATCTGGGACTCAATAGGTGTTTAATGAACATGTGATGAACTGAAATACCACTGAGCCTGAGGACAGGCATTTCTAACACCTGGGGAATTTACACACAGGACAGGCTGCATGTGGCCATGTGACATCCATCTTTGCTTAGGATATTGTTTAGGAAACTTGTGTGAAGTCTCTGAAGATGAAGCTTGCTTGCAGGAAGAGCAGAAATCTTGTGAGTTAAGCTAGTTATTTTTGTTTTGATTATAACAAACATATGTTTGTTAGTCTCTGGTTCTTTTTTGGATGCAGAAAAGACTTGCAACAATTATAAAGAGGAAATTGCCATTGGCTCTTTCATTGTCATAGTTTCCATGACTAAGTATTTGGTGGTTTTTTTTTTTTTATATTTAATTTATGCATACAGAACTGGGATATGGGCCAGAGTACAGTGGTGGTGAGAGGATTCGACAGAGACAGGGTGGGGAGTAGAACAGGCTAATTGATGAAGTACACTGCCGAGAGGAGCAGCAGGCGAGTCAGGAGAGGTCTGCCGCGCCATGTGGGTCATCTTCCTGGCTGGGAATTGAATTTGTGCTGAAGTGGCTTTAGCTTCGTAGTGCTGTGTTTAAACTCCCGGTGCCATCAGGGAGGACCGATATTTGGTGTTTCATTTAAAAGTTTGCTTGAGCAATTACACAGAATCTTTAAAGCATTAAGAAAAATCCATAGTTGTATGAACTGTCAATCATAATAGTATTAAACTGATGACATGTGGAGAGTATTTTTTCTTTGATAATTATTAGTAGTATTTTTGATTATGTGAGTTGAAAAAATCAGAATTGATAGTAGGAAGACCTATCAGTATGCACATCTCAAAGTAACATTTTAATTTCTAAACTCATAAAAACAATTAATCCCTATATTTTGAGATATTGTTAGTATTTTACATACTTTTTAATTGAGTTCAGAAGAGTAATTAAAAGTTATTAAATAAATGTAAGAAAATATTTTGTCAGTGAACTCATTGACATTAGTGAAACATTTTCTCCTCCCATGGTGTTATTAATAAGTGCATTCATGTTTTAGATTAGTTAAATATGATTATTTAAATCACTTCCATGAACTTTATCATAAAATATTTGCTATTGTCCATAATGATCTTTTATTGCTTTTTGAGGACTTAGCAATTGGAAGAATCCAAAGTATGAAGAGATTTTTATAATTTGAAAACCTTATTAATTAATTAGTTTTGGATGAAAAGGACTATTACAAGATCAGATTCATTCAAACTAATTTAGAATATTTAAATTTATTTTTGTGCAATTGAAGAAATGAGGATTGATGAGTGACATTAATCATATAAACAGTTTGTGAAAAGTTTAGCCCAATGATAGTAATATAACAGCAGCGGTTATAATAATTGTTCACATTTACTGCAAGCTTATTATGTACCGGGCTCTGCTAAGTTTCTCAAATCAAAGTCCGAGTTAACCCTTACACTCTCTACAAGATATATTATTATCCTTGTTCTACAAATGAGAAAATGAAGGTCGAAGACAATAAAATAAGGTTCATGAACAAATTGAAATTCAAGATCAAAGTAGTACAACATAGAAATAAGATCTCTTACAGTCATCCTATATACTATGGATATATACGAATAAACAGAGCTTTATTTATAGATTTTTTTTCCCTAAGAAGGAACAGACTTTTGACAACTTTCTTTTGCTAATTGAAGTTATAGTGTGCACTTGATGTATAAAAGTTGCATGCATTTGCACTCCTTCCATTGCCAAAAGAACAATAGTAGTCTCAAAGATTACTAACTAGGTGAATTCTTGTAATTTTAGATTAATTTGTTGAATCCATACATGTACTTGAAAATTACAAGATTAAAGGACAGATTCCAGTTTTGCCCTTTTATTTATTTATTTATATTTTAATATTTATTTATCTGTGCATACAGAACTTGGGGTACAGGCCAGAGGTCCAGAAGTGGTGAGAGGATTCACCAAAGACAGAGTAGGGAGCAGAACAGGCAGATTGGCGAAATATGCTGCTGAGGGGAGCAGCGGGCGGGTCAGGAGAGGTCTGCCACACCATGTGGTCACCTCCGGGGCTGGGGATTGAACTCATGCTGAAGTGGCTTTAGCTTCCTTGTGCTGTGTTTTAGCCTGCTGTGCCACCAGAGAGGGCCCAGTTTTGCCCTTTTTAAGGCATTGAGGTATGAATTATCTTGTGCAACCTTATGAATTTAACTCTTTGGTTCAGAGGCAAGTATTTTAGTTATGGGAGAAGACCAAAACAGCTGCCTCGGCACATTAAATGACAGAGAAAAAAAAAAAAATGACAGAGAAGGCTCTGGACAGAGAAGGCTCTGGAGAGATGCCTTGGAGTCGTTGTGTCATTACAGGCCCTCAGCAGAGCCATTTCAGGACCATGGTCTTTGCTCTTCTGTGGGTGACCGTCTTTTTCTGCTCCTCTCAGAACAATTCCATGTTGTTCTGTCAAAGAACCTCATGGGCTGACTATGTAGACTTGACTTGGCAGTGTCTTGTTTAAAAATTATTTATTTTTTACATCATTCTTCATTTTCTGCATTTTATCATCTCAGTTGTAATCCCTGTGGACTTCCAGCACCAGTTCACCCGTGTTCTGTCACCAAAGTCCCGTGTGCTCTTCCCACCCCAGTTCTGATCCTATTTCCCTCTCCACCCTGTAAAATGTCTCTGGTTTATAGTGGTTTGATTTTTCTTTATGACAATTGCTTTTTATTTCCTTACCTCTTAAATTCCTGCTATGAGTAAAACCTTCCGGTATTTTTCTTTTTCTTCCTGGCTTATTTCACGAAGGATGATCCCTTTCAGCTCCATCCATGTTGCTGCAAAAGGCATTGTTTCTTTATTTATTTTTTGGTTGCTGAGTAATATTCCATTGGGTATATGTACCACATCTTTTTAATCCAGTCATCTACTTTTGGGCATTTGGGTTGATTCCTTGTCTTCCCTATTGTAAATAGAGCAACAATAAACATGAGGGTTTAGCTGTCCTTTTGAGTCAATATTTTTGTGACTTTGGGAAGATACATAGCAGTGGGATTGCTGGGTCATCTGCAAGCTCTGTTTTTAGCAGTTTGAGAACACTCTAAACAACTTCCCATAGTGGTTGTACCAGTTTGCATTCCCACCAGCAGTGCAGGAGTTTCTTTTTCTCCACACCCTTGCCAACATTTGTTGTTGCTAGTTGTTTTAATATGTGCTATTCTCACTGGTGTGAGATGGTATCTCATTGTAGTTTTAATTTGCATCTCCCTTATTAAGAGTGATGTTGAACATTTTTTTCATATGCCTGTTGGCCATCTGCATTTCCTCTTTGGTGAAGTGTCTTTTTAGCTTTTCTGCTGTAAGTATGGGGTAGATACTTTGGGAATTGAGAGAGGACAGCAAGAATTGAGCTTGATAATGCCTACAGCACTTTCCATTAAGAGTACAAAAAAAAAAAAAAGTGAAGGGAGAATCTGGAAAGCTAGAAGAGTTACTATTCTTTCTAGAATAACTACAATGGGTCAACTCAGTGTCCGGAGATATAACACCTTTGATCAATGCTGAATCCTAACCCTGTGCTTTTAAGTCAATCGGTGTTCCATTGTTCCTCTCCTTTTTTGCTAGATTGTCCTCCAAGCTTCACTGCACCTTGTGACCCCCCCTGAATCTGCATGGTGAAAGCAAGAGGATCTTGTGAAGGAATGAAGAGAATATTTGCTCCTAATATTTTATGATTTTTCAAATATTTGGCAGTCTTGAAAGAATTTTAAATCATATCACTAATTCTTACTATTATTATTTTGCTCTAGTCAATTTATCATATAGCCATCATCAACCGACATATATATCATTAGTAAGAATTCAAAATTTGCTTACAGTTTTTTCTTTTGATGAAGAATGTATGACAGTAAAATGCAGAAATCTTAGGCTATGATATCTTCTAGGCTTATGATAGTTACATGCTCCTATGATTTCAATTTTGTGTTTTTACTCTGATTTCTCTGAGTTTTAATAATTTAGGAGGATCAACTTTATCATTCTGACCACTGTAAGCAGATGTGTTTTAAAATAAAATATTCTTCTTTTTAATACAAAAATGAGGGTCACTTATAAAAGATTTATAACCTCTTCTAAATTTTAATGTTTTAGTTTTACCACTTTTGATTAAGAAAGTATATTCACTACATTAAAAAAAGTAAAATGTTTCTGTGTTTCTATTTTAGATCCCATATTAGAGATCACCAGGCAAAATTTTTTTCAAGAAGCAAAAGCTCTCATCGCCCAACATAATGAGAAAATAAATGAGGTTAATGCTTTGCATTATCTAACATTATATTTTTCTGGAAACTAATAACTATTTTATATGCTCCAAATGACTGCATGAACCCTGGTAAATTCTAAATAAAAGAGAAAAGGAAATCCTCACTAGCTATAAAAATTGATTTCAGATGACATTTTAAATATAATTTTTAGTTGTATTATTCAATTATACATGTATATGTAATTTGCACATTTAATCCAGTTTTTAATGTTTTACTTTGAAGAGTTACAAAAGAAATATTTGGATAAAATGTCTCAAGTAAACAGCCTCATTTATCATTACCGGCTGATTCTAAACTGGAGAATGTCCCGTGACCTGCATCTTTCCTAGGCCTCTGGCATCAAGTGCTCACTGTGTCCTCTTCCATGTCATTTTGCATTAGAACCATTTCCCAGTTCCATGACTTGTTAGTGGAAGCTGCACCTCCAGCAGCAAGTCATGTGCCTGGTTCATAAATATTTGCTGAATTAAAAATTTGGCAGTGAGAAGCAGTACATGGAAAGAGATGGCCAGCGACAGAAAACGCAACACATTTTCAAGGAAAATTTTGGCCAGTTATTTTTGGTTTAACAGAGGCTTTAGTATTTTATGGGCATTAAAAAAAATGGTTGAAAATAATTAAGTTCTTCTGAGTATATTTGGAAGATCCTATTTTAAAATGGACTTCAAGGCTATATTTGAAAATTACATTTGAGGAAAAAATGACTATTTTAAAGTTTCCATTCTTTAAAATGGACTGTAACATGTTTGTGAAATGATTTTGGAAAACATCACAGGAGAACATCACAGGCTAACATAAAACTTCATCATCTATAGTTATTATCCTATGCAGAGAGTATTTTGTAAAATGCATTTGGTGGATAATTTTATTATAAAATTAATATTAAATTGAATTAAAAATATTTTTCTTTTATTTATAGGGTAAAACTCATGGTACTTCCATAAATGTTTTTAGAAATAAACACCAAAAAACAAAATCTGCCAGATTCTTACCTTTGGAGATTAAAAAGGAAACGTTTGATATCATCCAAGAACTACAGACAGCACACAAAAATTTATATTTTCTCAAAGAACCCAAAGATCTTTCCCAAAAGGAACATATTGAGGAGTCTTCACGAAAAATTTCTTTCAAGGAGCCATGCATTTTTAATATAAAAGGAAAAGGCAAGGAATCTGTAGATCAAGTTGTGAAAGGTAAGTTTTTGGTGGAACAAAGGAGTTCAGCAAACCAACAGTTGAAACTGCTTCTGTTGTGCATATAATGGAATTTCCCTGTCCTTGCAAACCCTCAGACTTTATCTTTTAGCAATGAAAGGTAGAGGTATGATTAAAAAGGTGCTTGCTTCTGGGGTTACTGGAAATGGAAAAGAAAAAAAATGTTAACGGGAAAAAGGAGTTTAGAGGAACAACACATTTGTTTTAGCTACATGATAGTCATCCAAGTGCAAATCATAGAAACTGCTTATTTCACTGTTACTGAAGCTGCCATAGGTTTGTTTGTGACTCTAAATGCTGTTGTTAGTACTCACTGGAGGACTGGCTGTGAGTGTGGGTGAAGGAAGGATGATCCTTAGACTTTAGACATGATTAACTGGAAGCATAAGAATTATCACTTTCTTTGATGGGGAAGAGGGAGAAATGCAGTTTTGAATGGGCAGAAATCCAGAGGTGAGATTTGGACACATGGCATTTGAGGGATCTATTGCATATACATATATGGGAATGACAAGTAGGTAGTCTATCGGGGTGGGTTCATAGGAAAGGTTGGCATCATGAATGTATCATCATTGTCCATAGAAATATGCATGGGCTACAATGTTCTAATTAAGTATTTCCTAGTGGTCACATTAAAAAAGTTAACAGACAAAATTTTTAACAGAAAATATTAAAGTTATTATTTTAAATAATATATATTATATATTATTTTAAATAATATATTAGCTAACCTAATATATCCAAAATATTATTTCAGTAGTTTTTTAATATAAAAATTATTAGTGAGATTGTTCATTTTTTCCCCAGAATCCGGTTTGTATTTTGAAATTGGACTAGCCACATTTTAAGTAGACAACAGCTGTAGTTAGAATACAATACCAGATTGGACAACGCAGGAATAGATTTTATTTACGATCATAGTCTTAGATAAAGTCATCTAGGAAGTAGATGGAGTTGGAAAACGTAAATCCAAGGACTAACTCCGACCAGCTAGAGGACAAGAGTAGTGTTCAACCGAAGGAGGGGAAAGGACAGCTCGAAAGGAAGTCTCTATCTTTGATCTAATTTTTAAACATAGACCCAGTGTTCATGTCGGTGCAGGTGGAAGCATAATCTAAGGTATCAGCAGCATTAATTCTAGAACTTGATTAAACTTTGTCAGACTAGAAAGAAGCTGAACCCTGCCTATGTGGTATATATACCTTTTGCTTGGGCTGCGCTGATAAATTGGATCGCGTTACCTTCTATAAGGTAGTCCTGACCGAGTATGTTACATTTTGACCAAGTGAGGGATGCCTTAGACAGGAGCAAGGAAAGCTTGTCCATGATCCCAGGAGTAGTGCAGGGTCCTGTCCACACACAGGTTGACTAGTAGGTTGGCAGATGAGGTGGTGGTATGACATATTATTTTAGTGAAATTAGAAGTGAGGTCTTTATTTGAGGATGAGATGGGAAGCATTGGCATTTTGCGGAATGAAGAGTGAAATAAATATAATCTGGAACAGTATGAAAGTACATGGACTATAAAATGACAGTTTTCTATGACAAATGAAATCACTTAAACAGAAAAGAGAAATGATTGGAAAATGTCAATAAAGATAAAGCAAAAACCAACTTAACTTGTAGCACAGGATTTTGGAAAGAGTGTATAGAAAAAACAACTGCTACTTTCAATAGCTGTTGAGAAAGTTGTGTCCCTAGCAAAATAAGGGTTGTTGGGATAAGAAGGCGTGGGGGACATACAGAGTACATAGGTAGGTACCTGTTTCTCTGAGGAAAGGTTTTGGGTTTCTCAGTGCACAGAAAGGAGTTTGGGGAGGTGATTGAAGGAAGAATGAACAGTTGGGGGATCTATGCTAATGGTAGGCAGGTAAAAAGCAAGGAGAGAGAGAAGACTAGTTCTCACACCATCTCTGAGAGGATGCTGGCAATCCATTCTCATGGTAGTCTCTTTGGAGCTTGCTCTCTTTTTTGCAGTTTGTTGCTCATGACAATCATGAGGCCAAGAATATTGGAGGTGGGGGAGTCAGAAAGGAATAAAGGTTTTTTTCAAAAGCACAGGCGGACATCAGTTCTGAAAATCCAATTGTAGGCTTGTTGAACTCAGGCACATTTTGCTAGGAGCCTCGGTACATTTCACAGAAGACAGCTGTGAAGTGCTGATTGTAGAGTTTATATTTGAATTAAAATTGCTATTCATTTCTCAAAATTGTTATCTCCAAAAGCATATATTAAGTCTCTACCTTTGATCTATTTTTTAAACATAGACCCAGTGTTCATGTCAGTGCAGGTGGAAGCATAATCTAAGGTATCAGCAGCATTAATTCTAGAACTTGATTAAACTTTGTCAGACTAGAAAGAAGCTGAATCCTGCCTATGTGGTATATATACCTTTTGCGTGGGCTGCGCTGATAAATTGGGTCGCGCTACCTTCTATAAACTGAACATCTTATGTGAAAAAAGTACAAACATTTTTGAATTTGACCCAAAGATATCAACTCTAAAAACCTATTATAGCCATTATAATCAAATATGTTCAGTAAGTTAATTTTGTGCTTTCCTATAATACCTGCCATATTTTTCTTAATCAAGCAAAAATTAGAAAAAACATGAGATGATTTCTTCTTTGAGTATTCGGATTTAATACAGTATATCTTAATCAGTTTCTAGTGTCATGTTGCCAACAATTTATCAATCTAGTTAGAAATTATGCATAAAACTTAGTTTTATAATGTATATTAATACTAGTATAGTCATCATGTATCATACATAATGTATAGACAGTGTTCTTATGACCAGTGTAGAGGGGTGTGGTACCCCTTGTAGTTTCACAAACATCTCTCAGTCTGTCTATCTGCCTGTGTGCTGATCTGTATTTTCTGTCAGAAAGTAAACCTTTAGAGGGCAGTATCTTATTTGCATTTGTGTCTCTAGTGCCTAATAGCATAATGATGGAGTCAGTTGGAACAGGAAAGACATTTTATAAGTGCTTATTAAATAATGGAATGAAAGAGGTGCCAATGTAAATGTGTGTGTAAATTTCTAACCAACTTTAGGTAAGCCTGGTCACTTTTCAAACTGTCCTATGCACCATTGCATTATAAATTATAATTCTGTTTTCAGAAGCTGACTCCTTTGCTACAACCTAAGAATACTGTATGTAGTTGTATGAGTGCATGTGAAGTGTGGAGTCACTGCACAGGGTAAGGAGGTTGATCAAGTCACTGTCCAGTATAAAACAGCTGTTGCCTGAGCTCTGCAGTGCCCAAAGGTTGTTATTTATTTCTCTGGCTTGCATGGTTGCTTCCAAAATGATTCTGTCACAGCATGTGTGTTCTGGCATTCCCTCTTAACACTGGGAAACTTGGAGCCAAGGATCTATTAGTGCCCGAAGTGTGGAATGTGTGACATTGATCATCCCCTCTCTGAGCTGGCACTGCTCTGAAGCAGCCTGGGAACCAGGGAACAAGCCTGCTGCCAAATCCATCTGGTTTTGATCCCATTTCACTTAATGAATCAAAACATTATTTTAGAGACACTTAAAAAAAAAAAAAATTCCAAAAGTCCAATGAATTCCAATGAATTCTCTGACTTAGGATGGATCAGAAAAGTTGGTACTCACCATAGAGCCATCCATGGAGACATGTAACATGTTTTCATCATGTGTTATCACTTGTCTAAAGTCACCACCTAAACACTTCTTATATGATTGTGTAGATGGCTGTTTTTATTTATGTTCTCAGATTCTAACTATAGGGAACCACTAACCATGACCTTTAAGCAGCATTGCGAAAAAGACTAGGATATTGGCTATAACACATATATAAAGTGACCTTAGTAAGTTTTTCAATGAAAGGTTGAAAGTATCTATATATGTCTACAAACTGATACTTGCTTTAAGAAATAGAAAATTTTCTACTGTTCTATTGGAACCAATAATTGGAAACCAATTATTGGAGAAGAGTATAGGGAAGCATCTATTGAGTATTTACTGCTTATTACAAGACACTGTGTTAGGCCATGCATTATTCAAAAAAATCTCACAAGATCAGCATATTATTGGTAGCATTTTACAGCTAAGGACACTGAGGTTCAGAGAAAGACATGTCCAAGTTGCCACTATGGATAGGTGGTGGCAGGATCTGAGGTCTTTCTGACTTGTATGCGAACATTCTTATGTACGTGCTCTCTTTTGCAGCCGCCTTGGGAGCTATGTGACTTGCAGGGGTGAGGGTTCCCAAGTGCACTGAGAGTGTGGTTGTAGTATGAAAAATTTTCATAAATTTTTGTATGCAATGAGGAAGTCACTTTTCTTCTGTGTATCTGTTTGCTTCATAAAATTGATCTAATTCTTGCTGTTTTAAAAGGCTATTCTATTTTTTTTTTTTAAGATTTATTTATTTATGCATACAGAACTAAGGGGTACAGGCCAGAGGTGCAGGGATGGCGAGAGGCTTCACCAGAGACAGAGTGGGGAGCAGAACAGGCAGAGTGACTGAAATACACTGCTGAGGGGAGCAGCGGGCGGGTCAGGAGAGGTCTGCCTCGCCATGTGGTCTCCTCCGGGGCAGGCAGGAATCGAACTCATGCGGAAGTGGCTTTTAGCTTCTCAGTGCTATGCTTTAACCCGCTGCGCCACCAGGGAGGGCCAAGGCTATTCTATTTTTATCCACTGTGATCTTTCAGAAGAAAGATAACATTTGAAGTGCCCCACCTCTTTCTTAGATAATACTGACGACTATACCAGTCGTTGGTTATGTCAGTAGCAACCAAATGCTCACCTGGTTTTTCCAAAGATATTACCAGGTAGCAGTACCATTGTCAGTAGATCCTCACACAGGCATCACGGGGGTGAAGGCAGAGAGTGCCAGGGAGTGGCGACCTCTAGGTAGTGCACCAGTGATTGCTTGTGTGCATCAGTACTGAAATATTCACATACCCAAGCTGCAAAGGCCTGATGAATTTTAGCTCTACCACTA